AGCCTGGCCCAGCCCCGGCTGTAGCGGCTATTTAGGGAGTGAACTAGCATATTGAAGATCTCTCTCTCTCTGTTATTGTTTCAAAAATAAAAATGAATCTTAAAAAACAAACAAAGAGAGCTTTGTTGGAGGAAGGGATGAAGTCCTCTCGCATAAAAAGGGGAAGGCCGGGCAATCATTTGTATCTCTTTTCAGAATGAAAACAAGCACAAAGCTGAACCCGCTCAGAGGGCAGTGGGAAACTGGAAGCTTTAGAACTGTCTCTATCTCTGGTGTGCACTGTGCTTCTCAGCCACGGGAGATGGGAGGCTTCCTGCACCAACCTCAGAAGAAGCTGCAAGTCCTTGGACCCACCCCTGGGGGTGGCAATTTTTTAAACAGGGGAGCAAAGTGGCAACAGTGAGGCTGAGGAGACTTCCTGCACTGTGCTGAGGACTGGCCTGGGCCCGAGAAGCAGCTGGAAGGCATGCTCTTTAGAAATTACTCACCCGGGGCCAGCGCCGCGGCTCACTAGGCTAATCCTCCGCCTTGCGGCGCCGGCACACTGGGTTCTAGTCCCGGTCGGGGCGCCGGATTCTGTCCCAGTTGCCCCTCTTCCAGGCCAGCTCTCTGCTGTGGCCAGGAAGTGCAGTGGAGGATGGCCCAGGTGCTTGGGCCCTGCACCCCATGGGAGACCAGGAAAAGCACCTGGCTCCTGGCTTCGGATCAGCGCGGTGCGCCGGCTGCAGCGCGCCGGCCACGGCGGCCATTGGAGGGTGAACCAACGGCAAAGGAAGACCTAGACCTTTCTCTCTGTCTCTATCTCTCTCACTGTCCACTCTGCCTGTCAAAAAATTAAAAAAAAAAATTAAAAAAAAAAAAAAGAAAAGAAATTACTCACCCGGAGATGCTGCCAGAGCCAGGTTACCAGGGGCTGAGGTCGTCATGAGACAGACACCAGCTGGACTGGCTGGTGCAGAGTGAGCACCTGAAACAGGATGCCTCCCGGGGTCCCGAGGGAGGGGCTGCAGCAGGCAGGGTCAAGAGGCACCGATGATGGTGCCCAGAGGGTTCCCACATTTGTGCTTGGTCTTTTATAACTGTTCCCCCTCAAAGCCCTTGTCACGCCATCTTACTTCTGACTTCTCTTATCAGGAACATCCCCCTTCAGCTCCATCTCTGGTATCAACACAACCAGCTTCCTCATTCTGGGATCCTCGGAGGTGGCCGTTCCTGATGCCAAACATTGCTTTGTGTCCTTTGCAGCAGGAACAATGCACATGTGCAACCCTCTGATTTACCAAGCTCTTGCTTCTCTAGCTTCTTCCTCTGCATTTCCCTTTCTCAAATACTCAGCCTACACCAGACACCACCGTGCTGCCACGGTGCTGTTCTGGGTTAATTCCAGGCAGGCGGAAGGCGGTGAGGGAGCACTGTGGTGTGACTTTAAGGAGCACTCTCCTTCTGACTGACAGTCTGCACGGAATGCCAAAATCAACAATGTCATCAACACAAGGGCGCTTCAAAAAGCTTGTGGAAAGTGGAATTAAAAGATAAGCCTATTCTGCTGCAAAAAGTTTTGAAATCCATGCATAGGTTTTTTTCATAATACACATTTTCCACAAACTCTCCGAAATGCCATTGCATAAGCAAACCAGAATGCTCACATAAAAAATGCTCTAAGGATAATAGAGTCAACACTGTGAATGCATTCAGTGACCCTGAACTGTTCACTATTAAATTTTATTCATTTGAGAGGCAGAGACAGAGAGGAAGTGAGAGCGAGTAAGAGAGAGAAGTGAGAGTGAGAGAGTATGCTCCCCTTTGCTAGTGTACTCTCCCAATACCCACAATGGCATTGAAGTTGGGAGCTGGGAGCAGGATCCAGGTCTCCCATGTGGGTGGCAAGGACCTAAGCACGGACTTGAGCCATCACCGCTGCCTCGCAGGGTCTGCATTAGCAGGAAGCTGGAGTCAGGAGCCAGAGGTGGGTGTGGAACCCAGGCACTACAATATGGGATGTGGGCATCTCAACTGCCAAACTAATGTCTGCTCCTGTTTACTCTAAAATGGTTAAATTTATGTGACACACATTTCTACCCATGAATAAAAATACTATATTATTACCCTTTTTGACTTTAACGATGTACTTTTTTTTTTTTTTGACAGGCAGAGTGGACAGTGAGAGAGAGAGACAGAGAGAAAGGTCTTCCTTTGCCGTTGGCTCACCCTCCAATGGCTGCCGCAGCTGGCACACTGCGGCCTGCGCACCGGGCTGATCCGATGGCAGGAGCCAGGTACTTATCCTGGTCTCCCATGGGGCGCAAGGCCCAAGTACTTGGGCCATCCTCCACTGCACTCCCTGGCCACAGCAGAGAGCTGGCTTGGAAGAGGGGCAACTGGGACAGAATCCGGTGCCCGGACTGGGACTAGAACCCGGTGTGCCGGTGCCGCAAGGCAGAGGATTAGCCTAGTGAGCCGCGGCGCTCACTTTTACTACCTGCCAACTTCTCTTCTCACACCCCAGAAATACACAAAGAGAAGCTGTCATCCCCCGATAAGGAAGCCTGGTATTGCTAGAAGGAGTAGCACGGAGCAGCACAACACTGCCGGGTGCTCAGTGGAGTCCAGGACGGTGTGGAGTCCAGGCCCCTGAGAAGGGGTCATGTCACATGACTAAGAGGGCCAGCTCCTTCGCACTGCCCGAGTCAGCACAGGAGGCAAAGGCATCACCATCTCTCCACTGTGTGCTTGTCTGGGTGGGGGAAGGGCTCGTCTCAGATGCAGCAGGCAGGGAGATGGGAGAGGAGACACGATCAGTTTTGCTGTCTAATCCATTGCTCAGGTGTTTAGTTTTAATGTGGGCAGTGTGAGATTCGCTGTTTCCTGAGTACAGTCACAGAGTCACACAATCGCCACCAGAATGTCTCTATGCTCCCCACTCCGCCCCTCCCCTGCCCCCACCCAGAGCAACGAGGATGCACGGCCTCTCCGCGGAGCTGCCTCTTCTGGACATTTCACATCAGTGGACAGGTGTAAGCTGTGCCGTGTGCATCTGGTTCCCTTAGCAGAACGCTTTCAGCATTCATCCATGCTGCAGCACACATCAGGACTTTCTTCCCTTTTTTCGTCGTCTACACCACTTCTGAACCCCAAGGGGATTGCTCTTGCCCTTTCTTTCCTGCAGCTGTGAGGATGAGAGGACGGGGACCAGAGTCAGGGCAACACCAAAAAGAAGCACGCTCCTAGGAGCATCATCAGCAATGCCCCAAGTAGAAGACAGACAGGACTACAAGGTCAGATGCATTAGCAAACACTCTGAAGGAGACAGGTCTGGGGCCAGCGTTGTGGTGCAGCGGGTTAAGGCACCACTTGCCATGCCAGCACCCCATGTGGGCACAGGTTTGAGTCCTGGCTGCTCTACTTCTGATCCAGCTCCCTGCTAATGGCCTGGGAAAGTAGCAGAAGATGGCCCAAGTGCTTGGGCCCCTGCACCCATATGGGAGACCCAGATGAAGCTTCTGGCTCCAGACTTCAGCTTGGCCCAGCCCTGATCTGATGGTTGTGGCCATTTGAGGAGTGAACCAGCAGATGAAACATCTCTCTACTTCCATCTCTCTCTGTAACTCTGCCTTTCAAATAAATAAAATAAATCTTAACGAAACAAAAGGAGACAGGCCTGTTCCTGGCACACAGCGCAGTGCAGCCCAGACTGATATCGAGGCAGCAGTCCCTGGATTCTCCAGACTACCATGTGGTCCACTTGCCGCTTAATCAAAGGCAAGACACGGCACCGTTCCAGGAGAGCCATCTGTCTACAAGCTTCCTAGAGCTCACTCCTGCATCGTGAAGTCAGAGTGCATCTCATGGGTTTCTCTCAACCTCATCTTTTGCAAGTGCCCACATTAAAGTATCCTTGCTTCTAAAGCGTGTCCTGGCGATAGGTCCCTGTGATTGATCCCACGACAAACGTTCCTTGCAAACTTCCCTGATGTCCTCATGTATCTCAGTGTCAAGTTGACTTCATAACCTGCTGGGCTCTCAGCCTTTTATTCCAAGTCTTCCCATCGGGCTCAACAAGATATTCTTTCAGCCGTTCTTCAATATTCTCACCTCCTCATCTTTTGTACAATGCACACAAGGAATTGCCATGCCCATTTGCAGAAAAAAATGGAGGCCCAATAAAAACAAAGGACCAGGGCCCTCGTTATCACATAGTGGGTAAAGCTTCCACCTGTGATGCCAGCATCCCATATGGGCACTGGTTCAAGTCCCAGCTGCTCCACTTCAGATCCAGCTCCCTGCTACTGTGCAGCAACCTGCTAACTGCTTCTGGGAAAGCAACAGCAGATGGCCCAAGTGCTTGGGACCCTGTCACTCACATGGGAGACCCAGAAGAAGCTTCTGGCTCCTGGCTGTGGCCAGGCCCAGCCCAGGCTGTTGTGACTACCTGTGCAGTGAGCCAGGGGATGGAAGATCTCTCTCTCTTTCTGCCCCCTCACCCCATAACTCTGATTTTCAAATAAATAAATAAATATTAAAAAAATAAATAAAGTACAAGAGACCAGGGACCATTTGCAAAGTGACAGAGCTATAGTCAGGGGTCTGGTGTCCCGTCCCCCACTCTGGGTCACCACACGGGTGCACGAGCGGTTCAGTGGACTATTTGGTCTTCTCAGGGAAGAGGTGACAGAAAACTCACAGCTCGTTCTCAGCTGTCCTGATTTGAGGGCAGGGCACGTGTTTCAACCCAGGCTACCGAGCTATGTTTCCTTCTATAATTAGGCAGCATGTACTCAGAATGCAATCCATGTTAACAGCAAAATATCTCAGGATGGTCAGTGTGCAGCATCCCTCTCGTCCCTGAGTTCTCTAACACAGACCAAAGCCCACCATAAACAAAAAAGGACGAGCCAAGTGGCCCTGCTCACTGCATATGAAGGTGCACATGAAAACAGGCCTCCTGCCGGATCCAGCCCGCCTAGCTATCCAGCCTCCCCACCCAGCCACACGTCTCTTACCCTCCCTTCAAACTTGGCAGTGGCGCCTTCTTTGACACAGAGGTTCCGAGGGGGCGAAATGAAGGCAGGCGCCTCGGTCAGGGGCATGGAGCCGACTCTTGAGGGATCCATACTGAGGGAGGCTTTGGAAACGTGTGAAGAGGCAGCCAGCTTCACATCCCCCATGGCCTGCAGAAAGGAAAGAGAGGACGAGGGGACATCAGATCAGCACGGCACTGTCGTCCCTTCAGACACCTGCATGCCCAGCCCGGCAGTGCAGCACGGGGCTGCAGTGGGCACCCAGCCAGGGCAGCGTCTCCCTGGACTCCTTCTCTGGAAACGTAGAGGCTCCATGTGTTTGACACACAAGTTGCCAGGGAATGGCAATGCCTGTCCCAGACCCCAGCTCCCAGGGCCATGGCTGCCTCCCCCAAACCTTCTGGGGAACTTCCCATCTGCCCACTGCTCCCTTCTGGGCATGAGAATAGAGCAACAAGCTGATTTTCAGAGCTTCACAATATGGTGGCTTCTAAAACCTGTATGCAGTAGCCACTGTGTGCAATGACTGCGGAATGGACATCTACACTGAGCACTTGTGGCTGAGTGAAGGGACAGAGGCAGGCTTGGGAGGACACCCCACCTTTAGGGGCAGATTGTGTAGACACCTACTGTCACCACCTGCAACACATCCTTGGTATCCCTGTTCCAGGTTCCAAGTCCAGGTGGCAGCCTTCTCAGCCTGGGACCACATTTAACTCATCACAAAATCCCTGGTTCCTGGCCTATCACAGACAGGGGACAAACACCTGCTGAACAGAAGGGAAAATTTATTCTTGGTTTTTTACTTTTCTCTTCATTTTCTATAGCTATTTGGTCTCATGCTAAGTCCCATGCTGTGAGTTAGGTAAACCAACACAAATGAGCAGGGGTCTCTGGGGCATATAATAAGTCTGCTTATTTTGAAATAAATTTAACACTATATAACAAAAATATGTCTATATCTCTTGAACTTCTCATTAAAGCAACAGAGTGACCAGGTTTGTTTGTAAGCACATCCTCTGCTTGACAAAGCTGGCTTTCTCTTTCACTGATATTTTGTTCGCTTTGCAAACAAAATTCCTTGGCGAATGATAAGACTCACAGGCTCACTGCAGTAGGTTAACAAAATCAAACACTTCATAGACATCAGGAACTGTACTAAGCACTTTATTAGTAATATTCACTTCACTTTATCCTTACGATGACATTGTGTGACCTGTCACCCTTCATATGGCTTAGCAACCCAAGGCCCAGTGATTTCAATAGGGGGCAGAACTGGCACTTGAACCCAGGCATCTGGCGGCACCTGGGCTGTGCTCTTGGGCTGTACTTTGGGCTGGGCAAGGACTTCAACTCTGTCTGCTTTGTTTTCCTTTCCTGTCAAGTAGAAATTTGAAATCCACCTTACATGCACGGTGAACTAGTGTGCTCGCTTGCCTCCTGTGGCGGGCAGCATGGGCTGATGGGAAGAGGGTCAGGTGTCATGATGGCAATTCAGAAGATGCTAAGAGCTGCTGCCATATACAATTAAGGTGTTGAGTATGTCAAATCATACCACCAACGACACTAAGAGACAGAGGACAATCTGCGATAAAATAAGAACTAGAATATTTCACATACAAGAAGAAAACAGCATGGCAGACAGACAGGCAGAGGTTTCAGCTTGGAGAGCACACAGAACACAAACAACAAGCAAACAAATAAAACATACTGCCTGGACCCAATTATAATCTAAGGGTGCAAATTAAGAACAAGCTACTATTTTTTGATTGACCAAACTGACATTTAAATGGAAAGGTAATGCAGGAAGGGTCTTCTAAAAGTCTGTGGGATGTGGGAGACCAGGATGAAGCTCCCAGCTCCCAGCTCCCAGCTCCCAGCTCCTGGCTCCTGGCTTCTGGCTTTAGCCTGGCCCAGCCATTTAAGGAGTGAACCAGAGGATACAATATCTCTCTGTCTGTCTGTCTCTCTCTCTCTGTAAATCTGACTTGCAAATAAATTAAAAAAAAAAAAACTAAAAAAATCTTGTGGGAAATAGAATTAAAAAATATGTTTACTTTGGGTGGGCATTTGGCCTGGTGATGAAGATGCTGGTTAGGACCCATGCATCCCACATTGGAGCACCCGGATCTGACACCTGGCTCTAGTTCCTGACTCCGGTTCCCAGCTGATGCACACCCTAGGAAGCAACAGGTGATGTCTCCAGTAATTGGGTTCCTGACAACCACATGCAAGGCACAGACTGAGTTCCTGGCTCCCAGCCTCAGCCCCCTAGCTACTGTGGACGTCTGTGGAGGTAACCAGGGGATGGGAGTGCTCTCTGTCTGCATCTCTCTTTAAATAAAGAAAACATGGATAAGTTTATTTTGGTGCCAAAAGGTTTTGAAATCCATGCATACAAACGGCCTTCAAAAACTTCATGGAAAAAAGCATCTTATGAAGGAGCCGTGCATGAATTTCAATATTTTTTGCCTCAAATAAACTTTTTTCATTTCCTTTCTCCATGAACCTTTTGAACCACTCTTGCACAGTGCTGAAGAGACCACAGTGAGGTGGGCATGCTTGTCTTCTCCCACCAGAGGTTGTAAATTGCTACTCTTTCTGCAAAGCAAGTTGGCAAAAAAAAAAAAAAAAAAAAAAAAAAAAAAAGAGTGAAAAACTGTCCATTTCTTTTCCCAGTAATCCTACATTTAGAAATGCATGGCCGGCGCCACAGCTCACTAGGCTAATCCTCCGCCTAGCGGCGCCGGCACACCGGGTTCTAGTCCTGGTCGGGGCGCTAGATTCTGTCCCGGTTGCCCCTCTTCCAGGCCAGCTCTCTGCTGTGGCCAGGGAGTGCAGTGGAGGATGGCCCAGGTGCTTGGGCCCTGCACCCCATGGGAGACCAGAAGTACCTGGCTCCTGCCATCGGATCAGCGCGGTGCGCCAGCTGCAGCGCACAGGCCGCGGCGGCCATTGGAGGGTGAACCAACGTCAAAGGAAGACCTTTCTCTCTGTCTCTCTCTCTCACTGTCCACTCTGCCTGTCCAAAAAAAAAAAAAAATAAATGCATTATAGGGAAAGAACAGAGATATAGCCCAACATTTACATATAAGAACATTAATTGTATCATTGATAGCAAAAGCTAGACATCCATGAATCCAGCTAAATCTCCAACAGTGAGATTGGTTAAACATACTCGAATCTCAGTTATAGGAATGTGTATTTCCAGATAAACTTATGATATGAACTTAATAATATATACATGTTAAATACAAATTTACTATGGATAATTTCAAACATATAGAAATAAAGAAAAAAGATGAGTATATCCAATCCCTACCACCTAGATTCAACATTTGGGGTTCACTCTCATATTTGCATCATCATGTGTTTTGTGTGTGTGTGTATGTGTGTGCAGAGCCTTTTTAAAGTAGCCATGATATAACAGTAATGATAAAAATCAGGACATAGTCACTCATTGAATTAAAACAGATTTATTGGACATCTGCCAGGTGCCAAGCTAAGTGCTAGACAGACAGCAGTGAACAACTCTCTCTGGGATGTGTTGTGCTTGGTGGAGCTGAGTGTGGGAACCTGGGGAAGGGAAGGAATGATGCCCTTATGTCCTGCACAGAGACCCAGGGCTGAGGAGAGGGGATGCACCGGGGCTGGGGGAGGTGGGAGGCAGCTACCATGGGGATGAGACTTCTGTGACCCTGTCACAAACCCAGAGACACCACTGCCTTCCAGCTGTGGGCTGAGCACAGCACCTTCAACCCTCCCAGCCTGTTTCCTTTTCCATCTAGTGGGAGTGATAACATCAACCTCCTGAGCTGGAAAGGAGGGTCTGGATGAGAGGGTGTACAGAACACAGTGCGGCATGAAAGGCGCCAGTAGGCGGTGGCCAGCAGCATCCACCTCCCAGAGGGAAGCCAGTCTCCTGCCAGCAGACGTGGGTGATGACTCTGGGGACAGTGACAAGGCCAGGCCAGCCCAATTATCCACAGGGAGCAGTGGCTAGAGGCGAGGAGGGTGCACAGGACTGGCGGCTCCCTGCAGCACTGCCCTGTCCATTCTAGCTGTGCCATTTAAAGAGCAAGGTGCATGCACCCAGCATCTGCTGAGCACCTGCTCACTTGACCCCAACCACCCAGCACTGTGATGATCCCCTTCTCACAAAAGCTAGCTACACTTGTCCATGCTCACACAGCCAAGAAGTGGAAACCAGGGTGGGGTTGTGGCCCACGCCCTGGTTTGGGCTGCTCCACTTCTGATCCAGCTCCCTGCTGAAGGCCTGGAAAAACAGTGGAAGATGGTTCTAGTGCTTGGACCCCTGCCACGCACGTGGGAAACCTGGAAGAAGCTCCTGGCTTTAGACAAGGTGGTTGCAGCCACCTTGGGAGTAGACCAGAGGATGGAAGATCTTTCTTTCTCCCTGTCTCTCCTCTCTCTCTCTCTAACTCTGACTTTCAAATAAGTTAATAAACATTTATGGAAGGAAGGAAGGAAGGAAGGAAGGAAGGAAGGAAGGAAGGAAGGAAGGAAGGAAGCAAAGAAGTAAGGAAAGAAAGCAAGAAAGGAAGGCGAGGAAGGAGAGGAGAGGAGGCCATTTAGGAGTAGGCAGTGAGGGATGGAGGGAGGAAAAAAAGAAAGAAGTCGGAGAGAAAAAAGAAAGAAGGAGAGAAAGGAAGGAAGTAAGAAGAAAACACCAGAAGGAGTCTGATCGCTGGTGGCCGTCCTTGCTGGGATCCTCCCGGTGCGCCCAA